GCTCCTCTAGTGCGCGCTGTGAGCTGCTGTCGTGCACGCGCGCTTGCGACCCACCTTCGGGTACGCAGTCGCACTGCGCACGCGCGCTTCGACCAGTCTGAGGAAGCTCGTCTAGTGCGCGCCCTGAGCCTCGCACGCGCACGCGCGCTCCGCTTTCCCTGCCGCGTACCGCGCGCGCGGGCGACTTTTGGATGTTCAGCTCAGCCCGCGCCGCGGGCTCGGGACGCACCCACCACGGAGGGGCACAGCTTTGCCCCGCAGGCACCCCGACACACGGGGCCGCGCAGAGCCTAGTTCCCGGCCTGCGGGCAGTGCAGGACCTGAGTTTGGAAAGGGCGTGAGGAAGGACGGCGAGCCTAGAAGGGCCGGTGCATGGGGCTGTTTGGGGGTTAGGGGCCTGGAAAGGTGCTCAGGATGGCATCTGCGCCAGCCGCCCGGTCACCGGGAGCCCAGGTGGCCCGGGTATGCAATCCGAGGCGGCTGTCCCGGGACCCTCGCGGGTTTCCTTTTCAGTTTCGCGCGCCCGCCGCCCCGCGGGCCCAGGCGCATGCGCAGGGGCGAGCGGGTCTGAGGCTCTGCAGCCCCGCGCCTGCTGGTCCCCGGCCGTCCGGGGCTGCCGCGTTCTCCCTAAGCGCCCCTTCCCCCAGGTAGATCGGGTAGGAAAGGGCCTGAACCGAATTATTAACGTGCCCTGCCGCCTCATCTGCGTTCCTCGCTCTCAGTTCCTTGTTTTTTTTTTGGGGGGGGGGGTTCCCTTTTACACTCTTGCTGAATGCAAGCTGTAAAGATTTTTTTTTCTTTTGGGACACTCCCCAAAACCACCTCTTTGACCCTGTTTCTGTTTACTGTCGGTTGACGTCGCGTGTGCATGTTTATGCATCACCTCTTTAAAGAAGCAGATGCCAGAAAGTTCCAGACACTTTAAAACGTGAGGGTGCTACTGCTGGGACGCGGGAGGAACTGCCTTGGACGCGGCCAGCGGAACGTTTGTGCCTCAGTTTCCTCGTGTGTTAAGTGTGGGCGTCAGAGGAGACAACGCAGGTCAGGCTCTGAGTATCGCCTGATACATCCGTGGTCCATGCGTGTCTTTCCAGAGCTCTTGCTAGGAGAGAGTCTAAGCGTGATTTCTTTTAGGGGACGAGGGACCTCAGTCAGAGAAGGTAGTTCATCAGCAGAGTAGTGAGGCGACTGTGACCCCAGTATGCTAGAACTGCTGCGACAAAATTCCACAGACTGGGTGGCTCCAACCTCCTGTGTGTTCTGGAACAGGTGTGGAAAAGCCAGAAGTTGGGGAACAAGGTGCCAGCAGCAAGGTGAATGCCTCCCGAGGGCTGGGAGCACTGGATTGCGTCCAGACCTCTCTCCGTGCCTGTTGCACGACCTTCTTATCTCCTTCTAGCATCTGCTCTCTCTGTGGTTCTATTTCTTCATCCCAGTTTCTCCTCTTTGTGATAACCCCAGTTATCCCAACCCCCGCCCTATCCTGATGACCACCTTTTAATCTGATTCCCTGACTGAAGACTCTGTCTTCCAATAAAGTCACCCCAGCTCCCTCCCTGCTGGGACTCCAACTTTTTGTTTGTTTTGATGCCTGAGGTCATCTGTCCTGTGCTCCCCGGTTGGGTCTGTAGAGTTCTCCTTCCCAGATTTTCTACTGTCTCTAGAAACCCTTGGGGGAATGCATGTTTTTCTCTCCCACTCTAACATCACAGCTCTGTTGATTCCTTAGATAAGAGGAGAGAAAGCCTCCAGGGCCAGAACTAAGCATTCAGAGCTGCAGGGGGTAACCTGGAAGCTGTCTCTGGTGGGTCCCTAAGTCAGGCAGGGATAGTTGGTTCCTTAGAAGGAGTTTCAGGATTTCTGCAGATTCGCTGCAAAAATAAGCCAGCTTACAAATGCAGGTGACGAAGGTTACACAACCGGAGGATAGAGACATCTGGAGTGTCTTCCTTGCCCTGTTCCAGCCATTGTGGCTCTGGGCACGGCTCTTGGCAGAGAATCCAGCTTATTCACTTAGAGGAACACAGGTACCAGCCTGGAATTTCCCTCCAGTTCCCCGAACCTGGCAAAAACCTCACGGGAATTGCGGAAGAGATGCACTGGGCAGTTTTGTGTACTTGTGCTCTCCACAGAGGTGAAAACGGGCTCCAAATCATTTTTTTTTTTAAAGTCTTGTTTTCTATAGTCTTGTTTATTTGTCAGAGAGACAGAGACAGCGAGAGAGATAGCGTGCACACAAGCAGGCAGAGAGGCAGGCAGAGGCAGAGGGGGAAGCAGGCTCCCCACTGAGCAAGGAGCCCGATGCCGGACTCGATCCCAGGAACCTGAGATCATGACTCCAGCCGAAGGCAGCGGCTGATCTGACTGAGCCACCCAGGCGTCCCTGATGTCTATACTCTTGAGAAACACCTCTTGCGAAGGATGGGAGATGCCTCTTTAAAAACACAAAAGCAAACCAAACTGTGAGAACCATCATGCTTTTCTGTGTCATAATCTAGATTAGGGGAAAAAAAAAAAACTGAAAATGTACTCACAGTTAAAGTGGTTTCTGTGCAGGTAACTAGAGGCACTTTAACTTGTTAATCCTTTTAACAGTCTGAGTGTCTGTGGAGAGGGAGGATGGATTTCCTTGCACGGATTACAATTTATTTTTGCAAAATTGTGTTTTCCCCGTGGATGATGGCTCACTTTTCCTGACAACTTTATTTATTTTTTACGATTTTATTTATTTGGCAGAGAGAGAGAAGGTGTGCATACAAGTAGGGGGAGCAGGAGAGGGTGAAGCAGGCTCTCCGCTGAGCAGGGAGCCTGATGCGGGGCTCAGTTGCGTGACCCTTGCTCCATGACCTGAGCCAAAGGGGGTTGCTTAACCGACTGAGCCTCCCAGTTGTCCCTCTTGATGACTTTCGGTAAACTGTGATACCGTGGTATCAGAAATTCATTCAGAATGGATTGCGCACATTTTAAAGAAGGATCCATTCCCACACAATGAATAAACTCCAACGTGCCATTCATCGTCCGACGAAAGGATGTGTATGCCCGAGCCATTCTTTATCTTGTTGGGTTGGTTCTTCCGTCCCTGCGTTTGCTTTCTGTGTTGTATCTGGAAGGCTGCTTGTTGCCCAAGCCATCTTCGGGAGCACACCTAGCTCTGCGGTTCAGCGTGAGCAGCCCTCATTTCCTTCCCTCGCTCCGACCTGGCGCCCGGAGCACGAGGCTGATGTATGGTGCCCTTCCTGCAGGCTGCCCATGTGGACCCCTGTAGCAGCTGGTGGCCAGGCTGGGTCTCTAAGGAATGTGTGCAGGCAAGCCCCGAGGGACACTTGAGGTCGCTTGTGGCAGAAGTAGTTAGGCTTCGTGGGTAGTTTGGAGAGCCTGCTGGGCTCTGCCAACGGCAGGGGCTGCTTGCTTGCATGGGTCAACATTCCTCTAGCAGGAGAACCTGCAGGGGGGCGGCTTCAGACATAATGGTGGCGAGGCAGAGGGTGTGCATTAAGAATGTGTATCTTTTCATGTGTGCACGTGCATGCATGTATATAGATACATTGTTACATCTCACATGCATACATGTATGTAGATACATTGTTACATCTCATACCTGGGCTTTAGGTTCATGTTCTTTTTGGACATGCACGTAGACCTCAAGTAAAAAGATGGTGGCTCATTGCCAACCCGAAAATGACGGGGGTTCAGAGATCTTATGGGCTGGTGAGCACTGGAAGGTGCCTGGAGAGTGTTGCCCGAAAGCATCACCCTTTTTCACTGTCCCTCGCCCTCTGCATCTGTTTCACGTGGACGTTACTCCCTATCCTTTGTCATGTCCAGTGAACAGGAAATCAGCTCTTTCTCTGAGCTCCACGAGACACTCCAGCAAAGTAATGGAACCCTACAGGGGGTGGTGGGAACCTCCGATCTGTAGTAGCTCGGTCAGGAGCACAGGTGACGAGCTGAACTTGTGGTTGGCATCTGGTGGTGGGAGAAGGTGACTTGTAGACTGAGCCTGGCACCTGGGGCTCTGACACAGCTTCAGGTACAAGGGTCAGGACTGACTTGAATTGCAGAACACTCGGGCTGGAGTAGGAACATTGCTTTGTGCTGTGGGAAAATCCACACATACGAACTGGTGTCAGAGTCATGCTCCCGAATGCCTTACCTCCACGTCCCATCCCAATGGGGATGAGGGCTCTGCCCTGTGAGTTTTCGCAGGGAGAGGGGCATTCAGTCCATTTTAGAGGGTAACTTTGTCTTTCGCCATTGAGTTATTTTCAGGTTCCATAACACACACCCTTAGTTCCTTGTCCCCTGCGTGCTATGACCAGGTCATCCTAGCATGCCTGGATGGAACCAGTTTCACTCTGAAAGCCTTCCATCCCCACGTACCCTTCAGCCACAGGCTCAAGAGGACACTCGGCCGGCCTTCCCTTGGCTGCCCCAGTGTGAGGTACAGGAAGTTTATGGGTCAGGACTGAGCCGACAGTCTCAGCAAGGTAGCGAAGTGGTGATAGGATTCATCTGTCCTGGACCTTAAAGCAAGGGGAGGGTGTGGTTGGGGACTGATGAGTGACATACATGTCACAGTCAGTGATCATGCAGACATTCCTCTGTGGACGGGAAGGGCAGGTTATGCTACAGACCTCCATACCTCAGTGTCCACGTGGGTCGGCCTTCCCTCCAACGTGGGCATACGCATGATGCCTCACAGCGGAACAGCATACCGTTCACGGAGACTGCAGATGACGCCATGGGCCTCGGCATGTGGGTCGAGATAGAAAAGGGAAGCGCAGAGGTCACCCA